CACACACACACACACACACACACACACACACACACAAACACAAACCCACCTCATTCCAGGGCCCGGTCGCCCAGTAAGCACAGCTCTCCCCCTCCCCCTGACAAGCTCTTCGGTACTCCGGCTTGGCGCCCACGTATCGAGTACACAGATCGTCCTCTGCATAGATGGAATCTCCGGTGACGCCGGTCTCGATACAGTGCATCAGCTGGGTCTGCTCTCCGACACCGCAGTCCACGCTACACTCGCCCCAATGACCAGGGACCCACCTGGAAGAGACACAATTTTAATTATTAGTGTTTATTTCTAACTCTAAAGCTTTCTTATTAATCTCCAGTCTACTTTTGTGGGTGGTTGGCGGGTGTTATGGTTTGGTTGTCTCCTTCTTCCCTATCAAACATCTATCATCCTTATCTGTCCTCCTTCTTTTTTGTGTTTATTACTCTCTTGTAACACCTCTAACCTTCGACACTTTTATGACCTTATTGTGTTGAAGTGCCGTAAAACACTTACTAAAAAGAAAAAAAGTCTACCTTGTCATGGTAACTGTGCCGCAGGCAAAGTAATAATAATACATAGCAGTTGTATAGCGAAAATTCCCGCTCAACAGCAAGCTCTGGTTGAGTGAGGAAAATTCGTGTAAAGTGCCTCTTCCAAGGACACAAAGTCAGGCCTTAGGCTCCAGGCTCTCTGTTAAAACTTAGCTGCGAAATGTTCACCTTGTGATCAGTGCCATTGCGGCTGCACGAAGCATAAAACACTACTTGCTATAGTCAAGTGCGGGTGGCACCTCTCCCTCCCCCTCCCCCTCTTCCTTGAATTTCATTTGGCACAAACTGGGTCAAAAATGGTGTACTGTATAGTGAACATGAAATACGCCAAAGTAGACGATGTAATAAAGGTATTATAATTAAAGTCAAAGATCGCTCTTCACACCATCTTCAAAACGTTATCAAAGACCAACACAAAGAGGTTATAAATAAAACGTGGCTGACATCACAGTCGCGAGCCCTGGTACTAATTTATAATCTCTTTGAGACTAACAGCATATATACGACGAAACAAAACACAAGAGGTGACGCACTTGTAGCCGTCAGAGAGTGAGTTGGGACAAGGTCCGTGGTTACATGTCTGGTTCCTGTCTGGCATCTGCTGACGTGGACAAAGCCTGGGGCTCACGGATCGACCCAGCTCACGGTCCATACAGCTGATGGCTCGCAGCTGGTACCCTGGGGAGACAATTGTGGGTCATCGTGGTGAAATCAGGCGCTCGTCAAAATAATGAAATCAAAGATTTAAAAAAAAATTTTTTTTTGCAGTTAGGCAATTTTTTTCTTCTAATTTTCCTCTTTGGGGCTTAGCACGTTTAATGTGCATTTAAAATACATTTTTGTGGTGGACTTTTACTGAGAAACATTGATTAAAGGCACAAACAATGTAAATTTTCAGTTTCTAAAGACTCTCAAGCTATGGAAGTTACCAAACGTTGGCGGCATTTTTCTCGCTAATTTTTCCTCTGAAATTAGGCGACCCTGACCTCCTTCAATCGCAAATATTTTTACTTCTATTCAACATAGATGGACTTTTTTTTTCACCAAAAGGGAGGAAAATGAACAGGCATTAAAATGATAACATAACCTCATATGTCCAAAAATTGACGAGCGCCTGATTCGACAAAGTCGTGCCACAATTATTGTATGTGGTTGTTTACGTTGTGTGTGTCATACCACACGCGACTAAGTACTTTTGTTTTGTTTGTTGAAGTTTTGAGATAATGAACGAAGAGCAGAGTGCCCCTAAGAAACAGTACAGATTGGGCACTCTATATATTTTACAATCAAATCCTAGGAATGAGTTAAATAGCAAAATGAAAAGTATCGTAAGAGGGCCCTTGATGTTTAAGTCTTTATTTGAATGACGGCTTTATCTGAAAGCTCCCTGAAACTGACTTGGGCTATTTTGGAATGACATTTACTGTTCGGACAATGCCGTGCATATCAACTCTGAGTAGTGTTTTCTGGGTTACAAAGAGTTTTACACTTAAATTCAGAAATTGGTTTGGGCGATTATAAAATCAAGGTGACTCTATATTATGTGAATCCATTAAGAAAAGTATAACATTTGTTTATCGATTATCTTTTTCATATAATTACATGCCGACATGGTCGCTTATGAGTAGACCACTCGGTTTACGTTAAACCATAAGCTCGCAAGGTTGATGGTGAATTGTTGAGTAAGGTAGCTGTTAACGTTTTCAAATGATGTTCGCTGGCAAACCGAGGCACAAACGAATTAATTACTTGGTTACACTAAAGGACTTTACCAGATCTGTACATTAACAATGTGTGAGTTAACAATTTAGATAAACGACTTTTATTAGAAGTAGTATCCCATACAACTTGTGTCTCTTACAAGGCTGCAGGATTAGTGCTGTGCTTGATTAGTCTGGAGCATTTATCAGCGTCTCTGGAGCAATAGTAAGGCCCTTTGCCTTTGAATGCAGAAGATATGAGTTTGGTTTCCACGACGGCAAGTAATTAAATTGAGTATATGTGACCCCCTCGTTGTTGTCATCCCACTAAGCACGGGTATGCCTGACAAACATGTCTGCGGTGTAGTAGTTAGGCGCTTCGTTGTCGCTAGCAGAAGACGTGAGTTCGATTCCAGGGACGTTTTTTTCAATCTAAGTGTCTTCGTTTATCTGAGGGGCATTATAACCTTCTCACTTCTTAAATGATCTAAACTGTGCACATACGTTCATAAAACACCTATTATCGTTTATTTGGCTCTGAAAGAATAAATGATCGAAACAGCCTTCTTTTAGAAACGATCTAGTGTTTGAGTCGATGTCGTTGTGCGATATTTGCACTCACCAACTCCACATTCGTTGGAGCACGAAGTCCATCCTCCGAACACCCAGGAGTATCGCTGCTCTGGATCCGCTTCCTGTACTCGGGACTTGGGTATCGAATATTCGTACTCGACTAGCGGGCTGAGTCCCATGAATCGAACCTGTAGTACAAACTTGATTATGAACTTTACAGAAATCGTGCATTGAAATACGATTAAGTGAGTGCGGAGGAGTTTATCTAATATGACATTATAGCCTTTACTCGTTGGCTACGACAAAGGTATACCTCTTATTTAGTTTCAGTCAGTTTGAGAGCTTTAAATTACTACAATACAAACACAATACAAATTGTTGTTTGGTTAGGCGTAACAAGTGCCTGGTGAAATGCTTGAATGCCTGTGGATGCGTGTATACGTATGCAAAACCAAACAAAAAATGAAAAGTGTGATTAATAGTCTTCCTAACCTTATTCAAAATTAACGAATAAATGTTAGCGACGATGTCAGATATGGTGGATGAGCGATTAGGGAGAAAAAAAAGCATCCAGTAACCTCGTTAAGGAAAAGAGGATAAGATTCAAATTCAAAGAAAGAAAAGAAAAAAATAGGTAACTAAAGTCTAAGGGTTTTTGTCTCTATAATAGACTTATACTCTGAGACCACACACTATCATTGCTTGGACTCTCTGCTCTCTATGAAAACTTCGCTGCGAAGCGTGCACAATATGGACCTTATCGCTACGCACAAATAAGCAAGCACTACGCCACCTTAGAATTGTAAAGTTTTACTTGACATGTTTGGTCGTTATGAATTACTATAGAACCATAAATTCAAAACCAAATGTTCTATCTGCTCTATCAAAATCGTAAGATTATTAGGAGCCGTTATCAAGATATTCCAAGAATTGCATTCGAAAAAGCTTGACATGTTGAGGAACTCAAAACTTTTGACGTCAAATTTCTCAAAACCAAGTACTGAGCAGTTAAAACTTGGTAATTCTGTGGTAGCAACGTGTCTCTTTAAAATCGATTGTCTGTGGCACCTCCCCCCCCCCCCCCCTCTTTGTCCTTCATTCCGCTCAAACCAAGTCAAATAGTGCTCTCCATCTTGAACTGGAAATACGTCAGAGTGCACGAACTGTGGTATCATAGTACAAGTCTATGGTCTCTAATAGTACAATAATATACGGTATTTATACAGCGCTCAATCGGGAGTAAAGTACACAAGTTCTGAGCGCTTTAAAATACAACAGAAACATGACAAATCATTAGGTCCTACATTGTGTTCTGGTCAAAAGAAAATCTCTATCTAGATAATTATCGCATCAATCTAAACAAACAGAAATGACTTTAACTGACATTTGAGTGAATTGAAGGATTTGATCTCTCTTAAACTACTGGGCAAGGCATGCCAAGACGTAGGCGTCACCACCCACCAGAAGTCTCAGTGTGTCATTGACCGGTCCTCTGCCCGTGAACTTCATCCCATCGTCCAGGTAGTAGTAGGAGAACCGGGTTCCGGCAAAGTCCGCCAGTTTCCGTTGTCCGAAGGTAATCAGAGCCTCCGTCAGTTTGAGAGTGTCCCCGCCGGCTGACGTCAGTTCTGGAGAGGGAAGGAGGGATGTGGTGTGGGAGTGGTCAAAAGTTTACCGGCATGGTTTTAGATGATGGCTCTGAGTGCTGCATTTACATCGTTTAACAAGGGTTAATC